TTTGTAGTACACAGTAGTACTGGGAAGTAGTTTGTGCCAGCTTTGTAGTACACAGTAGTACTGGGAACGACTTTGCAAGCCTTGTAGTACAAAGTAGTCCTGGGAATTGCTTTGTGCAAGCTTTGTAGTACACAGTAGTACTGGGAACGGTTTCGTGCAAGCTTTGTAGTACAAAGTGGTACTGGGAAGTGCTTCGTGCAAGCTTTGTAGTACAAAGTGGTTCTGGGAAGTAGTTTGTGCAAGCTGTGTAGTACACAGTAGTACTGGGAAGTGCTTTGTGCAAGCTGTGTAGTACAAAGTAGTACTGGGAAGTAGTTTGTGCAAGCTTTGTAGTACACAGTAGTACTGGGAAGTGCTTTGTGCAAGCTTTGTAGTACACAGTAGTACTGAGAAGTGCTTTGTGCAAGCTTTGTAGTACAAAGTAGTACTGGAAAGTGCTTTGTGCGAGCTTTGTAGTACACAGTAGTGCTGGGAAGTAGTTTGTGCGAGCTTTGTAGTACACAGTAGTACTGGAACGTGTTTGTGCATGTGTAGTACACAGTAGTACTGGGAAGTGCTTTGTGCAAGCTTTGTAGTACACAGTAGTACTGGGAAGTAGTTTATGCGAGCTTTGTAGTACACAGTAGTACTGGGAACGTGTTTGTGCGAGCTTTGTAGTACACAGTAGTACTGGAACGTGTTTGTGCAAGTTTTGTAGTACAAAGTAGTACTGGGAAGTAGTTTGTGCGAGCTTTGTAGTACACATTAGTACTGGAACGTGTTTGTGCAAGCTTTGTAGTACACAGTAGTACTGGGAAGTGCTTTGTGCAAGTTTTGTAGTACACAGTAGTACTGGGAAGTAGTTTGTGCAAGCTTTGTAGTACACAGTAGTACTGGGAAGTGCTTTGTGCAAGCTTTGTAGTACACAGTAGTACTGTAAACGACTTTGCGCAAGCTTTGTAGTACAAAGTAGTACTGCGAACAACTTTGTGCAAGCTTTGTAGTACAAAGTAGTACTGGGAAGTAGTTGTTGCAAGCTTTGTACTACACAGTAGTAAGCCCTTACAAGGAACTGCCCATTCAGTTGCAATACACCTAGTACATCCTCACGAGAGCCTTAATTAGTAACCTCTAGTTATAGTAGAGTTACTGGGGAACAACTTTGCACCTTGTAGTACACAGTAGTACTGGGAAGTAGTTGTTGCAAGCTTTGTAGTACACAGTAGTACTGGGAACGGCTTTGTGCAAGCTTTGTAGTACACAATAGTACTGGGAAGTAGTTTGTGCGAGCTTTGTATTACACAGTAGTACTGGGAAGTGCTTTGTGCAAGCTTTGTAGTACACAGTAGTACTGGGAACGTGTTTCTGCAAGTTTTGTAGTACACAGTAGTACTGGGAAGTGCTTCGTGCAAGCTTTGTAGTACACAGTAGTACTGGGAACGTGTTTGTGCGAGCTTTGTAGTACACAGTAGTACTGGGAAGTAGTTTGTGCAAGCTTTGTAGTACACAGTAGTACTGGAACGTGTTTGTGCATTTGTAGTACACAGTAGTACTGGGAACGGCTTTGTGCAAGCTTTGTAGTACACAATAGTACTGGGAAGTAGTTTGTGCGAGCTTTGTAGTACACAGTAGTACTGGGAACGTGTTTGTGCGAGCTTTGTAGTACACAGTAGTACTGGGAACGTGTTTGTGCAAGTTTTGTAGTACAAAGTAGTACTGGGAAGTATTTTGTGCGAGCTTTGTAGTACACATTAGTACTGGAACGTGTTTGTGCGAGCTTTGTAGTACACAGTGGTACTGGGAAGTGCTTTGTGCAAGCTTTGTAGTACAAAGTAGTACTGGGAAGTAGTTGTTGCAAGCTTTGTAGTACACAGTAGTACTGGGAAGTGCTTTGTGCAAGCTTTGTAGTACACAGTAGTACTGTAAACGACTTTGCGCAAGCTTTGTAGTACACAGTAGTACTGGGAAGTGCTTCGTGCAAGCTTTGTAGTACACAGTAGTACTGGGAACGTGTTTGTGCGAGCTTTGTAGTGCACAGTAGTACTGGAACGTGTTTGTGCAAGCTTTGTAGTACACAGTAGTACTGGGAACGGCTTTGTGCAAGCTTTGTAGTACACAATAGTACTGGGAAGTAGTTTGTGCGAGCTTTGTAGTACACAGTAGTACTGGGAAGTACTTTGCGCAAGCTTTGTAGTACACAGTAGTACTGGGAAGTGCTTTGTGCGAGCTTTGTAGTACACAGTAGTACTGGGAACGTGTTTCTGCGAGCTTTGTAGTACACAGTAGTACTGGGAACGTGTTTCTGCAAGCTTTGTAGTACACAGTAGTACTGGGAAGTGCTTTGTGCAAGCTTTGTAGTACAAAGTAGTACTGGGAAGTGCTTTGTGCGAGCTTTGTAGTACAAAGTAGTACTCGGAAGTAGTTTGTGCAAGCTTTAGTACTGGGAAGTACTTTGTGCAAGCTTT